CTCACCTCACTCTTGGTGTCCAGCAGAGGCTCCTGGGGGTGCAGACAGGCATGTGCCACCTTGATGACGTGCTCCAGCTTCCTTGGCTGCTCCTCCACCTTGGCTGCCAGGAAAAGAGCTGCTGGCACCACAGACTGTGGAGGAAAATGCTCTGTTTGCTTAAAAAGTCACGAAATTCAAGATGAAAATAAATAAACCAGGTGGATTCTCAATATTCCTGTAGGGAATTAAGGCTGTTCAAATCTGGCCACCAACAGGAGGGACAAAAGGGTCCCCTGTGCCTTCCCAAAACTCCTCCCAAGGTGGGTTCCCCTGGCCAGGAGGGGATTTGGGGGTTCCCAGCACCCCCCAAAGCCCAGCTTTCACTCACATTCCTGTGGAACTGGGTGAAGGACTGCACCATGTAGAAGCGATGCATGTACACGATGGCTGTGTTGATGGTGAGCTGGGAGCTGAAAATGGGGTTAAGGAAAAGCACAGAGACCCCCCCAAAACACCCAGGGGGAGCCCCTGGAACAGACCCCACACACCCACAGCAAGATGGGACAGCCTCCCCTCATTCCCAGGGCACTTCCCTGCATCCTAACACATCCTCCTGAACCCCAAAACGGGCTCAGTGCTCCCCACAACCAAACTGAGCCTTCCCAAAACCCCAGGAGAGCTCTCCCAGCTCCCAAAACCCCAAGAGAGCTCTCCCTGCTCCCAAAATCCTTTTTAGGATCTTCCTGGTCCTCAAACAAGCTCAGCTTTCCCAGTCACTCATGGGCTGCCTTTCCCAACACCCCATTACAGCTTTTCCCACTCCTCCAACCAGATTTCCTCAACCCCAGCTCCCAAAATCCCAAGAGAGCTCTCCCAGCTCCCAAAATCCTTTTTAGGAATTACTTTGTCCTCACACAAGCTCAGCTTTCCCAGTCACTCATGGGCTGACTTTCCCAACACCCCATTACAGCTTTTCCCACTCCTCTAACCAGATTTCCTCAATCCCAAAACGGGTTCAGTGCTCCCCATAACCAAACTGAGCCTTCCCAAAACCCCAAGAGAGCTCTCCCAGCTCTCAAAACCCCAAGAGAGCTCTCCCTGCTCCCAAAATCCCTTTTAGGATCTCCTTGGTCCTCAAACAAGCTCAGCTTTCCCAGTCACTCACGGGCTGAGCTTTCTCAACACCTCAGTACAGCTTTTCCCACTCCTCTAACCGGATTTCCTCAATCCCAAAACGGGCTCAGTGCTCCCCATAACCAAACTGAGCCTTCCCAAAACCCCAAGAGAGCTCTCCCTGCTCCCAAAATCCTTTT